TTCACTTCAGAAACACTTGTTGTTATATTCCATGGAATGCTCTTAACATCCCGATAGCAATGAATATATTAAAGTCTTTGACAATAAATACATTAAAAAATATCATCTGTGGAAGCCGTAGCGCTGTAAAAAGCACGACCAATCATCTGAGCCGACCCGGCTAAAGTAACTGGATGGCCTACCTGCCTGTCAGCCTTCCATCTGTGCACAAACTTATCTCGTGCCCTCATTGGTCATGTGCTCGTTCGTGTGTGTTGGAGGAGGGGCTCTGTAAGGAAGTCTGAAGGAAGGGGCAGATTTCTTTCGGCTGCGTACTTTCAAATTCTAGCGCACTCGAGCTGGTTTCTCCATTCTTACCTACCCTACCTTTTAAGATGGATTGTTTTTTATTATTAAGTTTTATACTGAAAGCTATTTTACTCTCTGTAGCGCAACTCTTAATAGTAGCAGTTTTTTTTTCTTCGTCCCATGTTATAGAAAAATGCAACAGCAGCATTTGTTTCTGCTTAAGATGAAAATAAAAGTTAATTAGTCAAACAATGTGCCAGGGTTATTTTCAGAAAGTCTTAGTTGCAGCCTACTTTCCACTCTTAGAAATGCACAAAAACCCCTCAGTTTGTACAGACCATGCAGCGTCTGCACCGCTGTCCCTGAGTTTGACCATGAAGTCCGCTTAGTTTTATTATTACCCTTCACACTGTACATTTGACATGTATAGTTCATGTAAAATGCTATTCCTTGCACCCTTAATGTAAAAAATATCGTACTTTTAACATTTTGCTAGCTGTATTTGGACCTTTCATAGTGTTTATTAGAGAGACATTCTAATCTTATCTTTAAAACAAAAAAATATCTAAAATATTAAAACCCTCAAATGTTTTTTTGATGTGTTTTTCAGGTGTTTGGCCGCAGCCAGTCCATGCCAGGAACAGAGACCCTGCTCACAAAGCCTGTCGAGAAACAACATACGGACACCGTGGTCAACTTCCTCATCAGGATCGCATGCCAGGTAACACCTTCACACACACCTCAACTCTCTCACACACACACACACCACCCTCCAACTCTGACACACACTAGGTTCAGTTCTGCCATCCGTAGTGCCTGCCAGGTAGGACACAGCCATCCTTGCCCCTCTGTTGTGAAGGTAGGACACACCTGGTGGCTGTGTGTGTGTGTAGAGATACGTTTAGACACACACACACACAGTCCTGTATGCGTCGCCTCACACAGCTGTCCCTTGGTTTAGTGGCAGTGATGACCTTGCTTGAAATAGACTGCTGAGGTTTCACTCACCTTGACTCTTTCCTACTTTCTTTCTTTCTTTTTCGGGGCCAAGCTCCTCTCTCACTGCTCATCCAACCATCTCTGTTGATTATAACCTTCTGTATAACCGCTGGGGATGAATCTCTACTCACTGAACAGTCTAAAGAAACATAATCTTCTCTTTGTACCCCGCTCGATATCAGTGTATTGTGATACTGAATCGATCCCTGTAGGAAAAATGGTATCTTTTCCCCCGGCCCCCAGAGGATTAACATCCACCAAAGAACAGCACACCTGCAGCTGATAGGGATTCATTGACTTGCTCCAGGATGCTTCTAAACATGAAGCTTCTGCAGGGCTCCCTCCCACTGTAGCTGCATGAATAAAATAACAGCATATGGTGACAGTCCTGGTCTCTTCTTTCTCTGTGTTGTTTATCACCCCTTTACGCTCTTTCAATATTTGTATTTTTAGCACTAACTATATAACCACCACGGCCCCTAGTAGACCCCCACACACAACAACACAGACTATAACACCTCTTGTTGTTAAATACCAACTATGTGCTATATATATGCCGTTAAAAACTGTGCAATATATACCTGGCTGCTAAATCCTCAGAGCTGTTGCAGGATGTGTATTTTGTAAAATGTGTAACTTTTTAATTTTTGTATTTGATATCTTTAATACTTTTGTATGCATGCTTAGATAACATTAAGCTGTCTTTGGCTCTTTTTCTGCTGTAACAATGTAAATGTCCCCTCTGTGGGACTAATAAAGGGATTCTGATTTTGATTCTGAACATTTAAGAAACAACAAAAGAATCAAAATGCATTCTATCAGAGATGAAAGACACTTGTCGCTGATAATGATCACCAACTTTTGTCTTCGTCTCCTGTCCAGGTGAACGACAGCACCAACGTGGCGGGGTCTCCGGGGGAGCTGCTGTCTCGGCGCTGCGTCAGCCTCATGAAGTCCGCCCTCAGGCCTGACATGTGGCCGCGCGCAGAGCTCAAGCTGCAGTGGTTCGACAAGCTGCTCATGACTGTGGTAAGAACGCATTATGGTAACGTTTCTGGTTACTTACTTACTGCTGTGTTTCTGCACTGCAGTCCCCAGAGGTCACTTTTCCTTGGCTTTTCCAAAGATTCATTAGTAAAGGGGCCCTATTCTGCTCATACTAGATTAATATTTGTATTTTGTGTCTCTAGTATGACATGTTTCCATGCTTTAATGTTCAAAAGGTATTACGTTCCCTACTGGGCTAGGGGAACCAAAGGGAAGCAACACAAACCAGAATGGAATTGGTAGAAGTTATGTGGTTTTATTATAACTATAGCCGTGGAACAAAATAATAAGGCATATAGCTTGGCACAAACAAAGGGCAGAGTACTGTTGCCTAATAGTTAACAAAAGGAGAACTCCAAAAGAGAGTTATATAGGTAGTAGACATCAGAGAATAATACACAAAAGGAAAACAAAACCTCACTTCTAAAGTGGTATAAGTAACAAAAAGGGCTGTGCAAAAATACAGCTGCTGGTAATCAACAGGCGCTAACCGCTAAGCTAACCTGGATTCTACTCACACAATTGATACGGCAATATCTTACGAAGTACAGAAGCACAGTTTTAACACGCTGTTAAACAGTATCGCTTTAACACACAACACCACAGCATTACGTCAACCAACAAGTAAATACACCACGAAGCTAGAGGCGTCTGTCCCACATCCCAGAGCCTCCCGAATGATCTCCGTCCCCGGCCTTTGTACTCCTCCCCCGGAAGATGTGCCGGAAGCAAGCAGGCAGGGATTGGATGACGTCGATCCAATCACCTCTTCGGATGATACGAGGGCGGGGCAGCCAATGACATCGGGGCAACCGTACAGCTCATTTGCACACGCACGCACGCACGCACGCACGCACGCACCATGTATTCATCACTTCAGGGGACATTACATTGACTTACATGCATTTCCTGGAGACTTATCCTAACCTTAACCATAACCAACACATGCCTAACCCTAACCCTTAACCTTACCCTAACCCTAATCCTAAACCTAACCAAGTCTTCGCCCTAAAATTAATGATTCCCCTCATGGGGACCTCCAATTTGTCCCCATAAGGGAAGCGAGTCCCCACACGTGACTGTGTAAACAGATTTAGGTCCCCACAAGTATAGTAATGCTAGGCCTCACACTCACTCACTCACTCACTCACTCACTCACTCACTCACACCAGAGTTAATAGCACCAGGAAATCAGCGGCTGTAACAAAAGGTCTTTCTTTTATTCATACTAGCAGCTCTTTTCACCCACTGTCTTGAACCAGAGTACAATGTGTTGGAGCTCTAGCCAATAGAAGCCTGAGTGTTACATACTTATATCACAACAGTGTGTCGCGGAGGTAAACAAATGTGTCAAATGGAGGCGTTTTCATCAATTACATGCACAAAAAACGATATAACGCACTATAGGAAAGGGAAAACCCCTAAAAGCACAATATGGCCCCTTTAACTGCCTTTTGTGTTTTGCAATGGAGAATATTAATGTCTTTCCAAAGAATACAGTACTTGCCTTTGAAAGCCTTCCACAGATTCTTCTGAAGTCGCCTGTGCATGTCATCAAAAGTGTTTTTGGGACACAAGTCTGAATAAAAACGATTAAAAATTCATGCTTGTTGTTGCAGCTTCAAGCAATAATCATCAAACGGTAAAGGATAACTAATGCTAGCCTGCTGTACGCTTTCCCAGAGAGCGCAGAAGTTTCCCTGCCTCCGCCTAAGCTCTGTCTTAGTGTTTGCTCTAACGCCTCCAAGTCCTTTGTCTGTTATCAGCAATACACGAAGTGAGGCGCCAACCACCGTAATGACAAAATAATGACAGTGGTGAGATAACGGGAGTCTATCCGCGTTGGCCTGTGCTTCCTCATTCAGCCCCTCCGCCCTTCTCCATCCCCAAATCCTCATCCTGTGCCTCTCTGCATCTCCCCTCCGTCTTCTCCGTCCTTTTTTCTTTTCAGCATCTTATCTTTCTCTGTTTTTTTTTTTTTATATCCTCTCCTTCTCCACTCATCTCTCCGGTCTGATTCAGCGCCACTGTTCAGACAAGGTTATCGCCACGCGCCGGCAATCGTCACGTACTTCCTCTGTTCCCGTTTGGGGATCACTGCTGCGCGGTTTCCTCTAGCTACCCTCACTCAAACCCAATCAGCTCCTCCAGGTCCCATGGGGGGAAATGCTCTGACAATACAAGGCTTTCTGCAGGTCTTATGCAGACGCAAACTCACGGGCCCTTTCCCCCCTGGGAGCACGCTCTACCTGCCGAGCCGTCTTACTCCCACTAATGAACAATGCTTCAAATCGGATTACCTTTTTATCATCTCATTGTACCGACATGGCAGTGATTAAGAGTGGGCGTGAGAGGGCAAATGAGCACGTGCAAAAACATGCGCACACAAATCAATACCAGCCTAATATCTACCAGGGGCCTTATCACTAGAGTCACCTTGTTCATTAGCAAAGATTAGTGCTATGGATCTTTCCCAGATTATCCTTTTGGCCCCGCTGTCGTTGTAAACCTCGACTGCAATTTAGACAAAATTAGGCCCCGATGTTGTCCATTGATCTCCAGTTTAACAGCTTGGTGCTTGAGTGTGAGAAATACCTCTGTGTGTCGAATATTGATTTCAGAGTTGTCTGGAGTTTATGTAAAGTAAAAACTTCCATGATTAATGCATCAACTGAGGAATTTGCACAATATTTTTTCTTGCTTTGTTCTAGGGTCGTAATGTCTAGACTTATAAGCCTGGATATTTACCTTGATATGAAGACCAGGATACAAAAGGCCTTTGTAACATGATTCATGTACTTATTTAACTCCACTGACCTCCTGTTCTCCGCTCTGTTTTCCTCTCAGGAGCAGCCAGCCGCGGCTAACATCTCCAACATCTGCACTGGACTGGAGATCCTCTGCTTCCTGCTCACGGTGCTGCAGTCCCCGGCCATCCTGGCTCACTTTAAACCCCTCCAGAGAGGCATCGCTGCGTGCATGACCTGCGGAAACACCAAAGTCCTGCGGGCTGTCCACTCCCTTCTGTCCCGCCTCATGAGCATCTTCCCCACAGAGCCTAGTGAGTGCAAAATGCTTTAATTTGAACCGTTCAGGGTTCTTACGGTCATTGAAAAGTCATGGAAATTCAAAAACTAATTCCAGGCCCTGGAAAAGTTATGGAAAACAATATGTTTCCCAATGTTTTGGAAAAGTCATGGAAATGTAACTAAAGTTGCATCAAATATAATTTATATTTCATCTAATCGACGAAATAGTAAAACTTTAATAATAATACATACTGTATCATACAGTAAACGTAAAATGGCATTTAACCGACAAGGTATTTTGCTGGTGAGAGATTTTAGTTGCTTTAGCGCAGGGGTGCCCACACTTTTTCAGCTTGGGAGCTACTTTTAAAATGACCACGCCCAAGTGATCTACCTACAGGGCCGCCCCTGCCCAAAATGACCACGCCCAAGTGATCTACCTACAGGGCCGCCCGCCCCTGCCCAATCTGTGTCGGGGGGTGGACTAAACGGCGGATAAACTGCGTATAATAGTGCGCCGCATTTGTGCTTCAGATGAGGAGGTGAGGCCCCCTCATAACTGTATGAACCCGTATGCCACAATACAACTCAGACTGGCTTACCTGTACGTCAATCAAGTGGCAAATGCCATAGTAAGGATGGATGATAGGCTAACTTAAAAAAAATAAAACGTTTTTTTTTTTTTTTTCCTTAGTTTTTTTTCAATGCCATGCGATCTACCCACACTACCCTCGCGATCGATCGACGTATTGGGCACCCCTGCTTTAGCGTGTAGAATCTAGTAAGCCTACTATTTGATTTGTCTCAGATAGGCACAACATATTTCATAGGCAGACCTTATTTTCCTGTTCCATGTTAAAATAAACCATTTTCAGTTGTACCGGTGAGAGAGTAATTTTGGTCATGGAAAAGTAAATAAAGGTCATGGAAAATCATTGGTGAAAAAGTGTATGAAACCCTGACCGTTTCAATCCAGCTTTATTTATAAACTCAGGAAAGCACTGCATGTCATCACCTGTGTAAAGTTGCACCACTCTAACTAGACGCGCTGATGGGGCGACAGGGCTCATCTCCATGTAGACACCAACAAAATGAACATACCGTGATGTAATTGTAATGCAGGTATCACAATGATGCGGAAATCACATCATACTTTTACCGGTTAGTAAAGTCAATGCTTTGGAAAGTGTGCTTACAAGACGGCAGGCAAAACCCTTTTTGTGTGTTATCTGAACGGAAACCGGATCGATCAGGCTAGGCTAAGCTACAGAAGAGCTGCTCCATCGTCACAGCAACGTCATACAGACATGTAGAAAGTAGCGTCTATCCACGTCTTTGCACTGATTGTACATGTTATCGCGCCGCGCAACAAATTTGCTTAGTGTGAACCAGTGGCGAACCCTATCTATCACAACTGGACCCTCTGTAGACACACACCCCCCTCCGGGTAAAGGGTACTCGCAACAATTCCGCAACAACTTCATCTTCACCTGTTGCACTTGCCTTTTCAACGTTAGAAGCAATAATACGGCATGAATTGCTTCGTCGCATTTATCTAGGTCCTCTGTCTCGAGCCAGTTAACTAGTGGGCCTTCTCGAATACCCTGGAACCGAGGGAAACTCTGAAAGAATACGCCCATTGTCTACAAATCAATATATGATTGGTTGATCAAACTGTCAGTCCAAATGTACGCATACCACTGAAATGCGTAGTGCATGGTCCGAGAAGGACAAACAAATCAACGTAACACTAATATTACAGATCAGCAACACAGATACCATTCTCATTTATTCATTTTACATACATTTTATTTATATACCGTAATGTTCGGACTATAAGCCGCGCCTTTTCCCCAATTTTTCGACCCTGCGGCTTATATATAACGGTGCGGCTAATCTATGGATTTTTACAGCTAACGGCCACTAGGGGACCTCCTAAATCTATGGATCTTACAGGTTACAGTCCAACACCTTTAACTCTATGGGCTCTATGGCCGGTCCGCGCCCCCCACCTTTAAGCGGCGGGCTCCAGCAGGAAAAGCTGGAGGCCGGAAAAGAGTGAGACAGGTAGCGCGCAAAAGTAAAAGTGGAACCGAGAGTGGTACGAGAGACAGAACGAGAGCAAGACAGACAGACATTACGAGAGCGAGACAGTTTGTCCCCGTACCACTGGTTGAAAACCACTGCTGTAGATCACTGCCGGTACGTGCGCTGGGAGCGCACCGTTTAAGTTTGAAAGTTGTAAAGTTTGTGTGTCTGAAGCGCTATGTGATACAGTACAGTTTACACAGCACAGTGCATGTTCTGTAGCTACTATTGCACTAAATGCTAACACTTGAATACGTTATGCAAATATGCAACTTGTTTGTTGAAATGTTAATAAATGGGAGCTTCCTCAAACAGCCATCTCTTTCCCGACAATCCCCTCTGTGCACGAACCCTTACATATGGTAATTAAACATTAAAACACCTGCGGCTTATAGTCCAG